AGGTTCAAGCGATTCTCCTGCCTCAGCCTCCTGAGTAGCTGAGATTACAGGCATGTGCCACTACGCCCGGCTAATTTTTGTATTTTTAGTAGAGACAGGGTTTCACCATGTTGGCCAGGATGGTCTCGAACACCTGACCTCAGGTGATCCACCCACCTTGGCCTCCCAAAGTGCTGAGATTACAGGCGTGAGCCATCATGCTCGGCCAAGTTGTTTACTTTTTTTTTTTTTAATATTTATTTTTATTTTATTTTATTTTTAAATTCAGTCTCTGGAGAGACTGTCAAAAATTGCCAATGCCGACTATTATTTCAAGTCGTCATGGCGGGGTATTCGGAAAAGTTTTAAATTAGCAATAATAGCGCCTCGGATAAACCTCATTGCTACGATACTGCCACTGCGCAAAGCTATTTTATTTTATTTTATTTTTAAGAGACGGGGTCTTGCTATGTTGCCCAGGCTGGAGTGCTGGTTATTCACAGGCACGATCCTACTACTGATCAGCACGGGAGTTTTGATCTGCTCAGTGTCCGCCCTGGGCCGGTTCACCACTCCTTAGGCAAGCTGGTGGTCCTCGCTCCTGGAAAATCACCATATTGATGCCGAACTTAGTGCGGACACCCGATCGGCATAGCGCACTACAGCGCAGAACTCCTGGGCTCAAGCGAATCTCCCACCTCAGCCTCCTGAGTAGCTGGGACTACAGGCACGCGCCACCGCGCCCGTCTGTTTAACTTCTTAATCGTGTATGAGCACCTCGCAGTTCAAGAAGAGAGGGGAAGTGGACACACTGTGAGTGGTGAGTAATGAGACAGCCATGGGGCTGTCAATTGAGCCCTGGCGTCCTGACTCGCAGCTCAGCAACATAACTGCTTTTCCATCCTGCCTTGCTGGTGTTCTGTGCACTGGTTTCTGTCGCTGCATGTGTGTACTCTGTAGAATACAATAGCATTAAAGAGCAGGAGATGGCTTCGCAAGAAAGTCAAAAGTCAACGATCACCTGAGGCCCCACGCCAAGTTTCTATTCCCGGCCACATCCCCGCCCTAGTGGTGGTTGATGTAAAGAGCTCCAGCCCCGCCCGAAGTAGGGGCCAGGCCCCTCCTACAGTCTTGGCCGTTTAAAACCAAACTCCGTTCGTCTCAATTAGCTCTGCTTCAAAACAAACGGGAGGAGGAATACTTGCTTTAGGTATGCTTGCAGCCTGAAGGCAGCAAGTTGGTTTACGGGTTCGGGTCTCGTGTCGGGGCCACCGCGGTGCCTCCGGCTGTTAAAACCAGCCCCTGGATGATGCCAGCCTGGTAATAAAGCGGTGACTACTATGTAAAGGTGGCATAATCATTGCAACAATAACAACCGTAATTTGGCTAATCACCATCCGCCTCCGCCCTGGCGTTCGTCCTGACTCATCCCAGCGGCACGCGGGCTATTGGGGAAGAAACTGAGGCAGAGGCGGAGCCAGCAGGCTGGCGGCACCAATAGCCCTCAGTTCTGCAGCTCTCGGGGTCCAAAACCTGTTGTCTAGGATCTGCCCTAAAGGGAACCCCGGAGCGCCCACAAAGCTCGATTCTGATGTAAGGTCTTTGACGTTGGTGTCCTCGCGTCCCCACCCCAGGCCGCGAGGCTCTGAACCCCCTAAAGCCCTAGAGTAAGACCCGTTCAGAGCGCGGGGACTGGAATCCAGACTACAATTCCCTTAGGCCTTTGCGCGCCAAGGCGCGCTTCTTCCCCACACCTCCGATGACTCCCGCGGCCACTTGCGCCGCGACGCCTCCTGGGAGTTGTAGGGCGGTGGCGTGTCCTTTTGAGCCAGTTCGCAAGCCTGGGGACTCTATATCCCGTGGTACCCCGCGGCTGTTTCTGACGCGACGGGGAGGCCAGGGAGGTGGGGGGCGTAGCTTATGCAGGGCCCCACCCCGCTCTGCTAAGGCCGGCCGGACAAGGCAGTGGCAGTAAGGGCGGCGGCGGCGGCGGCGGCGGCGGCGGCCGGGGGAGGGGTTGGGCGGGGGGCTGGCGGCGGCGGCGGATGGACTCGCGGGTATCGGAGCTGTTCGGCGGCTGCTGCCGGCCCGGAGGGGGCCCGACCGTGGGCGGAACCCTCAAGGCTCGGGGGGCCGGCAGCAGCAGCGGCTGCGGGGGCCCGAAGGGGAAGAAGAAGAACGGAAGGAACAGAGGGGGCAAAGCCAATAACCCTCCGTACCTGCCCCCCGAGGTGAGCACCTGAGAAGTGGTGGGGCGGGAAGGAGCCACTCTTTCCGGCCCGGGACTCCAGGGAGGCGGGACCCAGATAATTAATCCCCCTTTCCGGTGTCAAGAACCCAGAGAGGAGGGGCACGGGAGGAGAACCCCTCTTTCCGGTCCCGGGACCCCAGTGAGGAAGGGCAGAGAGACTGGACTCTAAGGGGACAGGACCTCACGGAGGAAGAGTGAAGAGGGAGGACTGCCCTTTCTGATCTAGATTACCCCAGGAGAGAAGTAGAGAGAGGGGATCTCAGGAAGAGCACCCCGACCAACTGCGTGTGCAGCCATAAGGAAGAGATACTGCATCCTGGGACGAGAGGCAGGCAGAGTAATCACCACTTCTTCTAAATTTGTTCCACAGGGAGAAGGGGAGTCCCGGGAAGAGAGCAGTATGTTCCCTCTGCGCGCGCGCACACACACACGCGGGCACACTCACAGCCTGAGCCAGTGGTTATCAAACTTTGGCATGTATCAGAACCATCTGGATTGCTGGTCCCCAAAGCCCAGCCAGTTTTTTGTTTTGTTTTGTTTTGAGACGGAGTCTCGCTCTGTTGCCCAGGTTGGAGTGCAGTAATGCGATCTCAGCTCACTGCAACCTCGGCCTCCCAGGTTCTCAAGCGATTCTCCTGCCTTGGCCTCCTGAGTAGCTAGGATTACAGGTGGCCGCCACCACACCCAGATATTTTCGTATTTTTAGTAGAGACGGGGTTTCTGCATGTTGGCCAGGCTGGTCTCGAACTCCTGATCTCAGGTGATCCGCCCGCCTTGTCCTCCCAAAGTGCTGGGATTGCAGGCATAAGCCACCGCGCCCAGCCTGGAATTTCTGATTCTTACTAGTGAGGATGGGCCTGAGAATTTGCATTTCTTACAAGCTCTCATGTGATGCTAATGCTGCTGGCCCCAGGACCTCACTTTGGAAACCATTGGTCTGGGCCTTAGACTATCATTTTTGTACCACATTTCCGAAGCCAACCATCCCCAGGAAAATGATTAAAAGGTTTCTGGAAGGTTTTTGTTGATGGGAAAAAAAAGTAATCTTTTTTTTTTTTTTTTTTTTTTTTTGAGACGGAGTTTCGCTCTTGTTACCCAGGCTGGAGTGCAATGGCGCGATCTCGGCTCACCGCAACCTCCGCCTCCTGGGTTCAGGCAATTCTCCTGCCTCAGCCTCCTGAGTAGCTGGGATTACAGGCACGTGCCACCATGCCCAGCTAATTTTTTGTAGTTTTAGTAGAGACGGGGTTTCACTATGTTGACCAGGATGGTCTCGATCTCTTGACCTCGTGATCCACCCGCCTCGGCCTCCCAAAGTGCTGGGATTACAGGCTTGAGCCACCGCGCCCGGCCAAAAAAAGTAATCTTAACCCACCATGAGGTGGAGATTATGAGTGAAGACCTGTTAGGGTCTGGGAGCCAGAGAGCCCTGAAGGGTTGGAATGATGACAGGAAGGGAAGAGGAAAGATAAAATATCCAGAGAGGGGAGTAGAGAAATGCAGACTGGCCAGACAGGCAAATCCCATATCCCTTTGCACCCGGGAGGAGAAGTCTCAGGCAACAGGGTGCTTCTGTGCTGTGCTACCACCTGGAGCTAGAAGAGACTGTGGGGTGGATTCAGGATTTCACCTCCACTGAATCATAAAGGTTAGGGGGCAGGCAGTTAAGGTCATAGTGAGTCTGTCCATTTCATTACATTTTCTGAGTTTTTCTGTTTCTCTCAGCCCCAGCTTTGGAGCTCTGCTCCTCTCTCACCTAGATCTTCTTGGTCATCAGGCTTGTAGTGACCGTTGCTGAGCTCACCCTTTGGCTCTGATCCAGAACCTCTTGCAGCCTCTTACTCTAGATGACATCAACTGAGAGGGGCAGGCAGGGAGGAAATGGTGTCTCCTAGACCAGTGGCAAAGAAAGTTTTTAATAGCCTGGGCACAGAGGAGACGTAGACTTCTGGGAAAAGCAGGTTTGAGGCCCTGGAGGTGGGGAGGAAGGGATGATCTTGCATCTAGGAAGAACGTGCTGCCAGTGATGAAAGAATGGGTTGGTTGAGAGTTCTGTTCCTGGTTTAATGGGTGACTCCCTGTGTCCTTATTGGCCTTCCCTTCTTAGAGGCTGTGCTGGGGCTGAATAGAGGATCTTGTCTGTCACTGACCTTTGGCAGGCACTTGCCTGAGCAGGTGCCAGTGGGGTTTCCTGCTTTCTCAAGTTAGCTACCTGGACTCCAGTGGGAATTGAAGGGAAGTAGGGATTGGGTCTGGACAGTGTATGGTAACTGCTCATTGTTTCTTTTCAGGCTGAAGATGGAAACATTGAATACAAAGTGAGTCCCAGGCTGGGGGAAAAGCAGGGGCTGGGTAGGTTGTCCTTGCCATCATAGGATAATTTCTCTGAGAGCCTCCCAACTTCATAATCTATAGCAGTTTAAGGATATGGTTCAGATTAAGGGCTCTGTACCTCGTTCTGTTGGAGGGAGATCACAGGGGATCATGTATGAGGAGTTTAAGTGGAGAGGGAAAGTCCTGGTCCTTGCAGCAGGACCAGTGGGGACCATGTGGGTTTGGGAGGAACACCTCTGATTTCACCTTCTCTTGATACCCCACTTGCTCTAAGTTGAAGCTGGTGAATCCATCCCAGTACCGCTTTGAGCACCTGGTGACACAAATGAAGTGGCGGCTCCAGGAGGGACGTGGTGAGGCCGTCTACCAGATTGGGGTAGAGGACAATGGGCTGCTGGTGGGGCTTGCTGAGGAGGAGATGCGAGCTTCCCTCAAGACCCTGCACCGGATGGCAGAGAAGTATGTTTTCCCTTCCTCACCAGTTCTCCTTTACCTGACTTGGGAGGACCCATGCATACCCAGTTACCTAGGGCCTGGGGGGCCAAGGTGGGACTTTCCTTCTCTTGACAAAGGGCTGAAGTGGGGAGGGTTAGTGTTCTGGTCCCCTCCTCAGTGGACCTAGGCTTTTTTGCTCCTTGTGTATTATTTTAAAGGCAACTGTGAATGAGAAATAGATTAGAGGGTAGTAGGAAGTGCACTAAGGTATTGGGCGCTCTAATGCACTAAGGTATATGTGGCCTTGCTGTGACAGGGTTGGGGCAGACATCACCGTTCTCCGAGAGCGAGAAGTGGATTATGATAGCGACACGCCCCGGAAGATCACTGAGGTGCTGGTACGAAAGGTCCCTGACAATCAACAGGTGAGCACACTCCCATCTCTGTCCCTCATGTCCACACTCTGTGGAAGGGCCCTGTGGTGGCAGGCTCTCTCCTGGCCTGGGATCCTGGGGCTTCCAGTTCATCACTTGCTCCCTAGGGAGCATCACTGCCCTTGAGTCTTCAGTGAGAGAGGTGAAGAATTGGAGCCCTTACCTCTGGCAATTCGTCCACAGTTCCTAGACCTTCGTGTGGCCGTCCTGGGGAATGTGGACTCAGGGAAGTCGACTCTGCTTGGAGTCCTGACCCAGGGAGAGCTGGACAATGGGCGGGGCCGGGCTCGGCTCAACCTTTTCCGCCACCTGCATGAGATTCAATCTGGCCGAACCTCCAGCATCAGCTTCGAGATCCTGGGCTTTAACAGCAAGGGAGAGGTGCATGGGATCAATGGGACCCAGTGGGACCAGACTCAGGATGGGATGGTGTAGTGAAGGATATAGGATGGGGGCAGTGTGGAGACTTTTTGAAATAGTATAGATGAATGCCCTGAGGGGACTGTGAACAAGCTCTGTCCCTCTTAGGAAATAAATGGGGAATCAACTGAATTAAATAAAAAATGGGGTCAGGATTAAAAGGCAGGGTCACCCAGGGAATGGTTTAAGTCCTGGCAACTCTGAAAGGGTTGGAAGGGCTGGCAGGGGGCACTGAGAGCCCTGGGCCCTGGGCCAGGTGGTGAATTACAGCGACTCACGGACGGCAGAAGAGATCTGTGAGAGCAGCTCCAAGATGATCACCTTCATCGACCTGGCAGGCCACCATAAGTACCTACACACCACCATCTTTGGCCTCACATCATACTGCCCTGACTGCGCCCTGCTCCTCGTCAGTGCCAACACTGGGATTGGTACGAGGCACTAGGGCAGGGACAGGGCTGAAGGGGGGTGCCGACTCTCCTACCCTGGGCCTCAAATCTGGGAGACAGACCAACGCTCCTCTTCTTCCCTCTCCTCCCTTCTTCACTCTCACTCTTCTCTCCTGCTGCCTGGTGTCCTTCTGAGGCAGCTGGCACCACAAGGGAACATCTGGGGCTGGCCCTGGCCCTGAAAGTGCCCTTCTTCATCGTGGTCAGCAAGATCGACCTGTGTGCCAAGACCACAGTGGAGAGGACAGTACGCCAGCTGGAGCGGGTCCTCAAGCAGCCTGGCTGCCACAAGGTCCCCATGCTGGTCACCTCTGAGGATGATGCCGTCACTGCTGCCCAGCAGTTTGCCCAGTCACCCAAGTAAGCCCACCTGACTCTAAAGCCCTGATCCACTAGGAAGGTTGCCACAGGGCCCAGGGCCTAGGAGTATGATATCCCACTCCTCCAGGGCCAGACTAGTTCTGGCTTATTTCAGCGGGTTTTTCAGCTTGGGATCGTGGAAGGGCATTTTGCTAAAGGGTCTGACTCTTCCCCTGAGCCAAGCTGGAGCATTGCTGGGACCATGGGGATGACGTGCTATACCAGGCATTTGCTGTTTCCCTTGGGCTTTGGGATGGGCTTCACGTGCAACGTTGCTTGGCTGGCTCACAAGAAGGCCCAGAGTTCCTGAGCCATTTGTCAGCAGGACAGAGGGGCCCCTAGCTGCCAACAGCAAAGCTCACTTTTCCACGTATGGGGCTCTGGCCTCTGCCTCCTGTTAGAACTGTCTTCATCTGTCCATTCCATGCCTCCTTCTACAGTGTCACCCCCATCTTCACATTGTCCAGTGTGTCTGGAGAGAGTCTGGACCTCCTCAAAGTCTTTCTGAATATTCTGCCGCCACTCACCAACAGCAAAGAGCAGGAGGAACTCATGCAGCAGCTGACAGAGTTTCAGGTAGTTGACTGCCCAAACAGCTAGTAGGCTGGGGAACAGGGAGGGGCTGATTCAGACCAAACCCAGAGTCTGTTTAGAGATTTTGGACCCACCATCCCTACTTGGCAGGCCACTGATAGCATTTTCTTTGGCTTCAGGTAGATGAAATCTACACAGTACCAGAGGTGGGGACTGTTGTTGGAGGGACACTTTCCAGGTGAATTGTCTTGCTTGCTACCCCTCCCCCCTCAGTCCTTACCCGTATACTCAAAGACATCCTGGCCCAAAGGAGGAGACCCTGGAAGTGAACGGAGCCCATTTAAAGGATGAGCTTGTTTGCAGATTAGGTTTTCACTATCAGAAGAGCTGGAGAAAGGTAGTTTGTTGGCTTTGGAAGGAAGAAACAGTATTGCTGCCTATTGGGCATCTCCAGGCCCCTGAGAGAGAAGTGTGGGTCTTGGGCTCCAGGAAGAAAAATAGAGTGTATTCAACTGACATCATCTCACATAGGGAAATGAGAGAGGTCACTTAAGACTCTTTTTGAGATGGAGTCTTGTTCTCTTGCCCAGGTTGGAGTACAGTGGTGTGATCTCAGCTCACTGCAACCTCCACCTCCCAGGTTCAAGCAATTCTCCTGCCTCATCCTCCCCAGTAGCTGGGATTACAGGCCACCATGCCTGGCTAATTTTTTGTATTTTTAGTAGAGACGGGGTTTCGCCATGTTGGCCAGGCTGGTCTCGAACTCCTGACCTTGTGATCCGCCTGCCTCTGCCTCTCAAAGTGTTGGGATTACAGGTGTGACCCATTGCACCCAGCCAAGATTTTCTTTTTTTCTTTTTTTGAGCCGGAATCTCGCTCTGTTGCCCAGGCTGGAGTGCAGTGATGTGATCACAGTTCACTGCAACTTCTGCCTCCTGGTTTCCAGCAGTTCTCCCGCCTCAGCCTCTTGGGTAGCTGGGATTACAGGCACCTGCCACTATGCCTGGCTAATTTTTGTATTTTTAGTAGAGGGAGGGTTGTCACCATGTTGGTCAGGCTGGTCTTGAACCTCAAGTGATCCACCCATCTTGGCCTCCCAAAGTCCTGGGATTATAGGTGTAAGCCACTGCACCCAGCGTAAAACTGCTAAGCAGAGAATGAAACCTAAGGGGATAACTTGCCCCTTCAGGGATTAGGTGTTCAGTGTTGTCAAACCAGCAAGTGCCTCTTTGTCCGCCATCACTACTGGTCTTTTCTGAAGTTAGTCTTCTGATTCTGAACTCTGGCGGTCATCCCTGTTACATCCAAGTCAGAATTTAGGGTTGTTCTTCCCCACTTGAGGGACTCAACCCTAGACGGGAAGGAATGCTCTGGGTGATCCTAATAGAGAAGTAGGTTTGGGGACCTTGGCTGACACTGTGCCACCTGCCCTTTGGGCTGCAGTGGGATTTGCCGTGAGGGGGACCAGCTGGTGGTGGGCCCCACGGATGATGGCTGCTTCCTGGAGCTGAGAGTATGCAGCATCCAGCGCAACCGCTCTGCCTGTCGTGTGCTGCGAGCTGGTCAGGCTGCTACACTGGCGCTTGGGGACTTTGACCGTGCACTGCTTCGCAAGGTGAGGTGGGTGAATAGGTTGGGGAGGGAACACTAAGAAAAGTGCCTAGGAGACTGGCTACTGAATGAACACCCATCTAGGGTGCTTCAGAAAAACTCAGAGGAAACACACTTTCTGATCCAAGAGGCTTCTGGTCTAGCTACGTAGACTATAAAAACAGCTTAGAATACTCATGAGGTGCAGGTAACTAAATATGAATCACTGCGTTACAGTTTTTATTGAACACTATTTTTAGTGTTCACGACCCTAAAAATATGAAGCGTTAGAAGGGCTAGAGGACACAGGAGGTGGGTAAAGACTCATTCCCTCTGAGAGTTTTGATTATTGTCTTTCGAGGTCTTTGTGTTTGGAGTTGTGTAGAGGAAGAGGAAATTCAGGAGCTATAAAGTGCTTGGGGGTGGCTGGGGAGGGAGAGTCTAATGTTAGAGCTGCCCTTCCTGGGCCTGGGGTCTGTTCCTCCCCAGGGCATGGTGATGGTGAGCCCAGAGATGAATCCTACCATCTGCTCAGTGTTCGAGGCAGAGATAGTCCTACTGTTCCATGCCACCACCTTCCGACGAGGATTCCAGGTGACAGTACATGTGGGCAACGTACGTCAGACGGCAGTGGTGGAAAAGATCCATGCCAAGGTGAGAGGGACTTGGCCATGCTTCCATTTCTCCAAAGGTCAGAAAAGAGGGAGGCCTACCCTAGACTGGCAGAGAACTCCCTGATCCCACAATGGGAATAAAGCCCCACTTCGGGTGGGTAGCGGCCTGATAGGCCCCTGGAGGGTGGAGACAAAGCTGGCAGAGAATGGGACGGAAGGCACTGGCCAGGGGAGTGACCACTTATCTGCTGCAGGACAAACTGCGGACAGGGGAGAAGGCAGTGGTACGATTCCGCTTCCTGAAACACCCAGAGTACCTGAAGGTGGGCGCCAAACTGCTGTTCCGGGAGGGTGTCACCAAGGGCATCGGCCATGTCACTGATGTACAAGCCATTGCAGCAGGAGAAGCCCAGGCCAACATGGGCTTCTGAATCCTCCAGGCAAGGACAGTTCTATTGCTGTCCCTACAATATATAAGGTGACATCCGGCCATGCTGCCCCACCATTGGTGGCTCTGTGTGTTAATAGGCTAGGGAGAGAGGAGTGCTGTCTGCCACTTGCTGCCTGCCAGCTTTCTGGAGAGGTGCCAAACTTGGTGTGGCCAGGGAAGGGCAGTCCTGAGGGAAAAGACAGGATTCAGGGCGGTGCTCAGAAGCTGTGTGCTCATCTGGTTGGCTCATCAACCCTGGCAACCCTGTGGCCTGTCTGCTGGAGCTGACTTCATCTACTCATCAGTTCCTCTGCCCCACTACTAGGACTGGGCGTTTTGCTGGTGCGGTCTCTGCATCACACAAGGGGTGGACCTCAAAAGCACTCCTTTTTCTGTACCTCTTTTCAAGGCCATGTAAGTTGCCCATCTCTACCTGACTGTGGACAGAGGTATCTGCTTTTGGCCATCTGGTGGTGGTGGCCCAGAATCTGAATGGCACAGGGACAGTGAATGGTAGTGCTCCTACCCTGTGCTGAGGCCTGAGGCCTCTTCCTCAGCTTTATCTCCCTATCCTTCATTCAAGGGCCACTTCCCCAGTCCCCGTCTCCCCCACCCCCTCCCAGCTCATAGGCCCCACAGGTGCTATTTGTTGTGCTGGCCCAGGTGTGGGGCTACCAAGCAAAGACTTGGCATATACCAAAGGCCAGCTGCATGCCCATCAGTCTGGTCCTTTTCCTCTGCAGTCATGTTGGCTTTCATGCTGGATCAAATGTTTTACATCCCCAGACTGGTGGCATCTGAGTTCCCTATCCTGCCACTCCCACTCCTTTTTCCTGCCCCACCTAAACCCTCTTGTTTTAGTAATTTGTTGTGACTGTTCCCTTCCCTCTGTTGCAGGGAACCAGGAGGAAAGGGAAAGATGTTGCCATATTTCCTACTCTTTAGGCATAGACTCTCCCTCTCCCTTTGTTAGTGTCCTGGGTTCCCATGGACTCAGGGATTTGTTGGCTGAGGTTTCTCTGTGCATATATATATATATATATATATGTATATATATATTTAAATACACATATATATTGTACAGAATAAAAAATGTTTTATTGAATACACTGTGCTTATGCTTAAGCTACAGGCTCAGCTTCCTTCCAGGGCTAGATACCGCTTCAGGTTTAGAGACAAGGGAAACCCCAGCATTGCTGAGCCCTGAATGTGTCAAGAACCCAGCTGGTATCTCATTCACCATTCTTTTTCTCTCCTTCACATAGGATCAGCGTTTCAGTACTGTAACCAAGCATAGTGGCCTGTTTTGCATAGTTCAAGTGAGCAGAGTACTGAGACCTTTCACCTGAAATAGGTAGCTACCCTGTATCTAAAGAGTTGGCCACTTGCTAGTGGTCAGAATAGTAAGGAGCCCACTTCTACGACCTGTCAAAGACACGGTGCCAGCTGCTTAAAGAAGAGTAGAATTTAGAGACAAAAGGTAATCTGATCCTACACTTTTCAAGTCTATATAGCTTAAATTACTCTTGGAACAATGAGGGGCACGTGACCAAACCTTAGTCACTGCTCCTATGTTCAGACTACTTGATTTTGACATTTATGAGTAGATAAATAGGGCCCAAAGTCAACTGTAAATAGAGACTGCATTTTGAGCAGACTCTGGTAAAATAAGTATGTGACTCAGAGTCCTATGTGGCATTCCGCCTCTAGAGTATTAAAGTGATAGCTTCCCTACCACTCAGGCTGTTTTATAAAATATAATTGGTTTAACTTGCTACTAAGAAGCCTGTAGTTAAACAATTTCCTCCTGTATTAGGGTCTAAGCTGTTTACTTCCTCTATAGAGCTGCTGACAAACAGCTGAGGAAGGAAAAGCTATATTCAGCAAAAAGGTACTGTAGTTTTCACCTGGTACTGACTTCTGCATGCCTGCCTGCTATCCCCTCCATAGACCCATTGCCAGTGTGCCAGGGCATGGCTGGCATTCCCAAGAAAATAAGGTATGCTGCTGGTACTGTCTTTATTGGTCAGCTACTAGCCACTTCCCCCCACACCCCTGCGATTCTACCAGTTTGGGCCTCTGAAAATACAGTGAAACCTAAGTCTGCAGCATTGTTTTTATGTCTCCATGCCAGTTAACCCAACTGTTAATTTATTCAACTTGATCTGTACATCGCCAAGAGATGAAAGCTTTGTTCATAGTTTACTTATCTTTTGCCTGTATTAAAAAGGAAATTTTGGAAAATCACATTTCAGTACTGAATAAGACATCTCCAGGAACTAGTAAACAATTCTGCAACATTAGTGAAACATTTAGGGGGATAAAAAGTATATAAGGCAGACTCCCACGGTGTGTATACATTTTCATGGTCTCAATTGTGGTAATCAGATTTAAAATTCTTTACTATATACATTCATCCAGTGAATATCAGCACCCATTATGTGCAAAGCACTACAAAGAATCTTTGCCTTAAGAAGCTAGGTATCTAGTTAGGGGCAAAAGGCCATGCCAGTAACCCTGATGGCTGAAGCACTTACCTCTTAAATTGGTACTTTAGGGCTGAAGAAATGTCCTCTACACACCTGGCCTTTAGTATCTTTTAGGTTGGTATTTCTCAAACTTTAAGATACGTATTGGGAAAATTTTTTTGAGAGTCTCGCTCTGTCACCCAGGCTGGAGTGCAGTGGTGCGATCTCAGCTCACTGGAACCTCTGCCTCCCAGGTTCAAACAATTCTCCTGTTTCAGCCTCCTGAGTAGCTGGGATTGCAGGGGTGTGCCACCACATACAGCTAATTTTTGTTATTTTTTTGGTAGAAATGGGATTTTACCATGTTGGCCAGGCTGGTCTTGAACTCCTGGCCTCAAGTGATCTGCCTGCCTTGGCCTCCCAAAGTGCTGGGATTATAGGCATGAGCCACCAAACCTGGCCCACACTGGGAAATCTTGTTAATATCAGATTACAATTAAGCTGGAATAATGGTGAAGCTGAGACTATTTCTACATTAAAACAAAATGCAAGAGATAGGCCAATGATTAGAACTGAGGCTATAATAGGGTTTACCTGTATGAAATTTACTGTTTATTAAGCTGCTTTTGTGTACAGAGACAGACTTGCCCTATTACCGTATCACTTTTAGGGTTTCAAAGCTTCACCTCACATTCTCCAGCTGAAAAACATGTAATTCTGGTCAAGGCATTATCTGAACTGCCCCTTCACAGAGCTAGAGAGAAGTTGTTTTTTTTTTTTTTTTTTTTTTTTTT